CACAAGTTGTCTCCTTCCCAAGGGATTTGCTCCTAGAAAAAGCCACCACCGCCTTCTTCACCGTGCCTTCTTTTTTTTCTGGAGCTGATCTCTTGTGCAGAGAAGAGCTTTTAACACCTCCCTGGATAATCAGTAAAACCCCAATCGTTAAGAAGGCCCGAAAGTACACCTCCACTTCATTTCACTGAACAAGAAAGATCATAATCCTATTTCTTCTTTGGGTCATCTACCCTGAGTCTGCACACATTTGCTCAGCAGCAGTCTGGCCACCCTTACACATCCAGCCAACCCTTAGCACTCCCACCTCTTATTCAGGATTCCAACTTTTTAAGCAACAAGAAGATCCCTGACACAGAGGGATCCTTGCTGAGTTATGAGAGCAGTGACACAGGATGCAAGAAGAGCACAAATGATGTTTCTTTATCCTCTGCCAGGCCCAGGGCATGCTTGGTGCTGCCATTCTCCCCCTGGGTGCAGCAGCAACCACGTCTTTGTCAGTTCTATGATTCAAAACGACCAACCTTAAAAATTAAGTCACCTAAAAATTACATAAGCATTTGAAAATAATCAAGAAAACTCTCCAAACAGTGCTAGTTAACACTTTGCTTGTCATAAATGTAACATCAATATGACCCCCAGGACAGGCCTGGACAAGAACTTGTGATTTCTAGCCATCCCTGAATTCTCCCCAAATTCCACAGAGCACCAAAACAGGACAATATTGGCAGCAGCCAAGGGCAGCCTCCTCTAGCCGGAAGCAGGCCATGCCCAGAGTCCTTGGCATGAACTGAGGGCAGCATCTCCTGCCTGGAAGCAGGCATGGAGCACAACAAAATACCACTTCCATGTGGGTGGGCCACTACAGCCATCACCACAGCCATGGCTGCTGCAAAAGCAGCTCAAGACCACCACAGTAGCACAGCTGTCATGCAGGCAGCCCATGAGACACTCGACTGCATTGACACAAGGAAAGCCACCAGTGGAGTCTGGAAAAAGAAGAGTACATCCCTCTCTTCAAAGCCCACTCCAGAGTAATAGAAGAAAAAAACTGTCCTCTACCAGATGACCAGACATCAACATAGAGATACTAGAAATAACAAAACCCAAGAAAATGACACCATCAAAAAATACAGTAACTCAGAAATACCAGACCCTATATAGCAAGAAGCCCTTGCAAGGACTGAAAGGGAATTCCAAGCAACAATCTTAAAGGAACTCACTGAGATAAGAGAAGACTCAGACAACATAAAGAAATGAGAAAAAAAAATCTAGGATATAATGGAGGAAATTTACAAAGAGATTAATACCTTACAAAAGAATGACCAGAACTCATGGAACTAAAAGATTCACTCAACAAAATAACACAACCAATAGCCTTAAGCAGCAGGACAGAACAAGCAGAAGAAAAAATTTCTCATCTTGAAGACACACCTTTCAAAATCACCCAGGGAAACAAAGAAACAAACAAACAAAAAGAAAAGAAAACAATTTTTTAAAAGGAAGAAAATCTAAGAGAGCTAGCAGGCAACATTAAGCACACAAAAATTCAAGTCAAGGGTGTTCAAGAAGAGGAGACATGAAAAGGCATGAAAAACCTATCCAGTGAAATAATAATGGAAATCTTCCCAGGAACAGGGAGAGACATGGACCTCCAGACCCAGGAAAGTCAAAGACCCCCACACAGATTTACCCCAATAATCCTCTCCAAGACACACAATAGTCAAACTGGCAAAGCTCAAAAACAAAGAGAACATTCTAAAAGAAGCAAGAGAAAAGCATCAAGTCACCTTATAGGGAGCCCTTATCAGACTAACAGCAGACTTTTCAACAGTAACTCTGCAGGACAGAAGGAAATGGGATGACATATTGAAAATACTAAAAGAAATAAACTGCCAGCCAAGCATACCATGGCCAGCCAGCAAGGCTATCCCTCAGAAATGAGAGAGAAATAATTTATTTTCCAGACAAAAATTGTGGGAGTTTACCACCACATCACCAGCCCTACAAGAAATCCTCAAGGGAGTCCTACCCCACCAGCAATCCAAAAAATGGTAATCACTCATCTTACTAGTTCTGTTCAAACTGTTTCTTTCAAAATTCAGTTTTAGTAGGTGTTGTGTTTCTAGGAATTCATTCATTTCATCTAATGATCTAATTTGTTGACCAACAATAATTCATAGTATTCTCTTATGACCCTCTTGATTTCTGTAAATTTGGTTGTAATGACCCCTCTTTCATTTCTGATTTTAGTTATTTGAGTCTTCTCTCTTTTTTTAGTCAATCTAGATGATCGTTTGCCAATTTTGTGGATTTCATCAAAGTACCAACATTCAGTTTCATTGATTTTCCCATTTTTTCTATTTTCTGTTTCTTTTACCTATGCTCTAATTTTTATTATTTACATTCTTTGCTAGGTCTGGGCTTAGTTTGTTCATTTTCTAGTTTCCTAACATGCAAAGATACTTGTTGATTTGAGATTTTTCTTTTTTGCTAATATTCACATTTGTACTAAATAAATTTCTATTTTAGCAAAAACTAAAATAAAAAATAAGTATATAAGTAAATAAAAACACATAAACTATGGAGACAGTAAAAAGATCAGAGGTTACCAGAGGTTATGGAGGAGAAACGGATGAATAGGCAGAGCAGAGAGGATTTCAGGGCAATGAAAGTCTGCAACAGCACCAGGGTAGATACATATCATTAAACATCTGTCCACACCCACAGAATACACAAAAAAGCGTGAACTCTAATGTAAACTATGGTCTTTGGATGATAACGATGTGTAAATTCGTTTCATTAATTGTAACAAATGTACCACTTTGCTGGGCAATGTTGATAATGGGACAGGCTACACATGTGTGGGTCAGGGGTATACGTGGGAAATCTCTCTACTTCCTGCTCAATATTGCTGTGATCCTAAAACTGCTCAAAAGTCTATTGAAATTAAATAAATAAAAACCATAAACAATCTTGTGAGTGAGGTCTCAAATGAAGAATGTAGCCTCGTCCAGAGCTCACCTCCATCCTAACTGCCCTGTGTGCCTACTTTCTACACAAACTCCGTCGGGTAGCTACCAACTCTTTTTTCAAGACTGCTGCCAGTGTCCTGAAGTCTTATGTTCTCCATGCAGCAGCGAGTTGCCTGCCTTTGCTTTACTGCATTTACATGACTGAATTTCAGCTAATGGGTAATAAAAAACAAATACATGGAAAAGGTGGAAGACAAAGGTAAAGGTGATACTATCTGCAGTACATCTGTACCTGCTGTCCCCTACATTCTAAGATAAATAAAAAAACAAGTCTCAGGGAGAAAACACTTTTACACAAATTTTGCGACAATTTTCTCCTTAGGTTTTGGCTTCTGTTCTTTGCCTGAACTTGGGCATTTCATAGTAGCTGCAGCATGTGTAAAAATAATGTCCTTGCTGCAGTAGGCCAGGCTGGACTGCACCACACTGGAGCTCCCAGGGAGGGTGCACCTGGAGGTGCCCGGAGCCTCTACCACCTGCAGAGCAAAACAGGGAGCTTCAGACAGTGTGCTGGCCAATTTCAGCATAAAGTGCTGTGTAAAATCACTATGTAGAGTACCAAGCTCATTGTTTTTAATGAAGAGATACCAACAGCATTTTTAATATGAATAAAACCTTATTTTATTTATTCAGACTACATGAATATATTTCCCTGAGGCAAGGCATTCACATTTTAACTGTCCTTCACACCATCTGTGGTGGACAGAACTCCAAGGTGACCCTCAGGACTCCAGCCCCTGGTACATGTCCTGTGTATGATTCCCTCATGAGATTTCATATCCACAATCAGCTTCTGCTATAGGGCAAATGTGCAGAGATGTAATCAAGGCCTCAAATGAGATGACCAGAAAGGGCCTGACTTCATCAGGCAACAACCCTTAAGAAAAACTGGCCTTTTCTGAAGAGAGGAGACCCTATTGCTGATTGTGAAATAAGCTGCCCTGTTTTGAGAGGGACAACAAAGGTTAGGATCTGAGTAAGGCTGCCAGATAATATACAGGACACACAACTAAATCTGAACTTTGCATAAACAGAAAACATTATATAACTATGCCACAAAAATTGCATGGGACATACTTATATACTGAACAACATGAGGGCTTCTGGGCTTCTGGAAGGGGATCTTTCCCCTGTTGAGCCTCTGATGAGTGACTGCAGTCCTGTTATGAGATTTCATATCCACAATCAGCTTCTGCTATAGGGCAAATGTGCAGAGATGTAATCAAGGCCTCAAATGAGATGACCAGAAAGGGCCTGACTTCATCAGGCAAAAACCCTTAAGAAAAACTGGCCTTTTCTGAAGAGAGGAGACCCTATTGCTGATTGTGAAATAAGCTACCCTGTTTTGAGAGGGACAACAAAGGTTAGGATCTGAGTAAGGCTGCCAGATAATATACAGGACACACAACTAAATCTGAACTTTGCATAAACAGAAAACATTATATAACTATGCCACAAAAATTGCATGGGACATACTTATATACTGAACAACATGAGGGCTTCTGGGCTTCTGGAAGGGGATCTTTCCCCTGTTGAGCCTCTGATGAGGGACTGCAGTCCTGTTAAGACCCTGAGCAGAGGGCCCAGCTAAGCCATGCTCGGGCTTGAGAACTATGGAAACTGAGACCATCAATATGTGTTGTTCTAAGCTAAGTTTGAGGTAGTGTGTTATGCAGTAACAGAAACCTAATACAGCACAAGAAGTACACCTGGTTGCTTCTGTTTTGATGGTCAAGACTAAATACACATGAATGCCTCCCTCAAATGTACTTAAGTGAAAATTATTTAATTTGAGAAATAAGTTAACATAGTTATTTTTCCTCCATAGAATCTATTTTACTTAGAATAAAATTTTATATAGGCTTAAGTCAAACACATTGACAATAAAGACATGAAATAGATACACATAAAATATGTAAGTAACATCAAGAACATGGAAATAAAAGTGAATTAAGAATTA